AACCTCAAAGTATTCCTTCCACCGCCCGACAATATCCCCAGTCGAGGTCAGCAGCTCTCCACCCGCACCGTACATGGTGTTGGCAAAGAACTGCTTCCCCCTCCTGAGGCGCCGGATGGTTTGCCAGAATCTCTTCGAGGCCGACCGATAGTCATGCTCCATGGACTCTCCGAACTCCTCCCAGTCCCGGGTTTTTGCCTCTGCAACAGCCCGGGCCGCGGCACGCTTGGCCTGCCGGTACTGGACAGCTGCCTCAGGAGTCCCCCGAACCATCATGGCTCGATAGGACTCCTTCTTCAGCCTGACAGCATCCCTTACTGCCGGTGTCCACCACCGGGTTCGGGGGTTGCCGCCGGGACCAGCACCAGAGACCTTGCGACCACAGCTACGAGCCGCCGCATCGGCGATTGAGGCAGAGAACATGGTCCACTCGGACTCCATGTCTCCCTCCTCCGCCGGGACCTGGGAGAAACTCTCCCGGAGGTGCGAGTTGAAAGTCCGTCTGACAGGGGGCTCAGCGAGACGTTCCCAGCAGACCCTCACTATACGCTTGGGTCTGCCAGGTCTGACCGGCTTCTTCCCCTGCCAGCGGATCCAACTCACGACCAGGTGATGATCGGTTGACAGCTCCGCCCCTCTCTTTACCCGAGTGTCCGAGACACGCGGTCGAAGGTCAGATGATACGACAACAAAGTCGATCATCGACCTCCGGCCTAGGGTGTCCTGGTGCCACGTGCACTGGTGGACACCCTTGTGCTCGAACATGGTGTTCGTGATGGACAAACTGTGACTGGCACAGAAGTCCAACAACTGAACACCGCTCGGGTTCAAATCAGGGGGGCCGTTCTTTCCGATCACCCCTCTCCAAGTGTCACTGGCGCCTCCCACATGGGCGTTGAAGTCCCCCAGGAGAATGACGGAGTCCCCGGGCGGTGCACCGTCCAGTACCCCTCCCAAGGACTCCAAGAAGGCCGGGTACTCTGCACTGCTGTTAGGCCCGTAGGCCGTCACAACAATGAGAGACTTGTCCCCCACCCGGAGGCGGAGGGACGCGACCCTCTCATTCACCGGGGAGAACTCCAACACATGGCGGCTGAGATGGGGGGCAATGAGAATGGCCACCCCAGCTCGCCGCCTCTCCCCGCGGGAAACTCCAGAAAAGTGGAGCGTCCAACCCCTCTCAAGGAGTTGGGTTCCAGAGCCCAAGCTGTGTGTGGAGGTGAGGCCGACTATCTCTAGTCGGTATCGCTCAACCTCCCCCACGAGCTCGGGCTCCTTCCCCCCCAGTGAGGTGACGTTCCACGTCCCAAGAGCCAGATGTTGTGTGTGCGGACTGGGTCGCCGAGGTCTCCGCCTTCGACTGCCGCCCAGTCCTCTCAGCACCGCGCCACCACGGACCCCTCTGCAGGTGGTGGGCCCACAGGAGGGACTGCCCACGTCATCCCTTCGGACTGAGCCCGGCCGGGCCCCGTGGGCTAAGGCCCGGCCACCAGGCGCTCGCATACGAGCCCCGACCCCAGGCCTGGCTCCAGGGTGGGGCCCCGGCTGCGCCATGCCGGGCGACGTCACTGCTCTCGTTATAGTGCGATCCATGGTGGTTTTTGGACTGCGCTTCGTCTGACTCGTCACCTGAGACCTGTCTGCCATGGGAGGCCCTACCAGGGGCATGAAGCCCCAGACAGCATAGCTCCCAGGATCATCCGAGTACTCAAACTCCCCCACCACGTTAAGGTGGCAGTCCAGGGGGGAGAAACATATATACATTTAATTTAAAAAAATACACTCCCTAAACAAATAATTTTTCTAGGGTGATGAGTGAGAAGGGTTCGCCAAAAAGAGTTGGAGGATTTTTTTGTATCTCATTTGTTTTCTGTCTTTTGGTGTATACATGTTTGTAAAAAAACAAAAAATATAAATAAATAACCAAAAAAAAAAGAAGATGACTTTACAATTCAAGTGGAAGTTGCCTAAACCTTTTCTGATGTTTTTTCAGACAGACATGGGTCAATAGGCGCAGGGCTTACATTACGCCACACCGCTGCTGAAACAATAGTGGCTGCAGCTTCGAGGCCTCATCTCTGCGTTATTCTTAGACTCTGTGGGAAAAGCAGGAGCCCTTCTCGGTGACACTAACCATGACTCTGCAAATTTTGTGGACAGGGCTTTTCGCAGCCAAAAGTGGAGATGCAGGAGAGTGTGGAGCGCAGGATAATGAGGGAGGCCACTGAGTTAGCTGGTGCTGCTGGTGAACTGACTGGAATGTTTCAGAAGGGTTTCGCTGCAGAACGCCCAGAGCAGTCGATTTGACAGCTTGAGTAATTACTCATTACTAGGCACTAAGTACATAGACGGATTCCTAACTTTGTGTGTTTCTATATGTAGCTTATTACTATTGTTTTTATGAAATTATCTTTATTTTTTTTATGTGAGGAGTTCTACCTAACTCCCAGAGCAGTCATTTTGACGGTTCCTACTCATTTTCATGTCAAATTAAAATGTAGCCTTTTTCGGTTGCTAGGCAACCCACTTTCTATGGCTGTTAAAGCCCCTTTTTCCAAAGGGCTGGGTCTGGTTCTGAGCTGAGATGGAAGAGCAAGTGCTAGTAACAATAGCAAACACAGGGTTTAGTTAACAGCAGTTATCATTTAGTAGTCTTTCAAGCTGTGTTTCTGCACTACATATTCACTTGTTTTAGCACATATTAAACTGTAAAACCAGCGGGGACAGGTCCCGGCCCAAAAAGGTCCATGAGCACATGTGCTGACAGGCTTTCTGGGTACACCACCACCGACTCCTTGCCGGTGGTGGTGTACCCAGAAACAGAATCATCCAATTCATTTTTACGACACCTTCTTCCATTTTGAAAACGGCTTTACAGGATGGTCCAAAAGTAGGCTCTTGGCCAACTTGATAATCCACTGTGGACTTTTGAATGCACGCGTCAAATGAATGGGGCGCATGCCATCTTTAATGTGGTGAGAAAATATGCATTTGCAGAGCTGCCACTCCATTGGTACAGAAAGAAGGACCAACCTTTGGTGTAATCAATAATGCAACTACGGTTCATTTATTTCTGTATTGAACTAAAAGTGTGAAGCAATACATAATATAGAGTCTGCTACAGTGACGTATGAGATGTTTTTTTTTTAGGTTTTCCAACATTATAACAAATCAAGGCCTGATAAATCTCACTTTTTGTGTAATGCATCTATCATGTATTAGTCATTATTAATTGTAACCTAAGAAAAGGAGATATACGGCATATTTTAAAACAGGTCAAGAAGAGCAATTTTTTATCATTATAGCCACTCTAAATATGAACTCCACTTCTATCATCTATAGCTTTGTCATCCACATTTTTCATCGTTGCCCACTACAATCAGACGCAGAAATTTTCGATCAAAGCTAATCTCATAACACAGACCAGACAAAATGCAATAATGAACAAAAACTTTATTTATTTAGCATAAATCAAAAGAATACCCAAAGGTATAAAAACGAAGGTGATGTCAATGTCTTTTACAGAGGTTATAAATCAGTGTCTAAAATTACAATTCCAAAAGCTGAACCGAAAGCTCTCAGCCAAATTAAACCGTCTGTTTGAACGGGACGGTCGTAGGGAGATTCTGCAACTACTCAAAATGCCTCCAGACACTTGTGACAAACATGACGTATTTTAAAACTCTAAATATGGTTAAAAACGGCTGGTTAAAAATGTTGTCTTTGAGAGCCGTTATACATTCAAACAGAACACATACAAAAGGCTATAGGCTTTGGTTCATAATGTCATCTAAAAAAGGAGTGCTTTACGATTCCAAACCCATGCATTCACCCGTGCCAATTAAATAAAAATCAACATTAAACAGCAATGTGCCTTGTTTAAAATCCAATTAGCAGGTTATAATACAGCGCAGTAACACTATGGCAGCTGTGGAGTCGTCAGCAGATGTCATATGAATATTAAATATATATATTTATATAAGAGCACTGTGTCACTTTGGTGCGGTTTGTGTTTTAGTTACATTTATCCAGACAGGGCAAACATTTCTACACATTTACAAGTTCATAATGTCTCGGCCTGTCACAATTATTACTATATTGACGCATAAACAAATGAATAAAATAAATTAATGGGGAAAAATATTTATTGTTGGTTCTTTTTTTGCTATTTTCTTTGTAAAACGATGTGTTTTAAGGTTCTAGTTTTCTTAAAATTTAAACAAATGTGCTGCTTCTGATATTAACATCAATGGCATGAACTTATTTCAATATTATTGTGAATTTTAATACATTTCCTAATTAATATATTGTCCATCAAAATGTGTTAAAAAGAGATATGGGCACATAGTCCATATTGTGTCAAAGAAGGGCAACAGCAATGCTAATGCTAATAGTGCAAATGCTAATGGTTGCCATGTCAAATGTTAAAATCACCTTTGTAGCTTCGTCATTTAAGAAAGCGCTGTTTGATCAATACAAAAACAACTAACATTTTTTATTCTTGGCCAAAACTGAACTGTCCATCATTTCATTTCAACCTCTTTTGCTTGCGTCCCTATGGCAGTAAAAATACATAGCCGTTTCTCCACATGTGCCATATTATTAACTTGAATGTAACAAGCTGGTGAATAGTGTTAAAATAAAGTCTAAATCATTAAATTCCTCATAAATTCTTTTTTGTACACCTGTACATACATTACAATGCTGTGGTGGATAAGGCACAGGCGATCAGCTGGAGGCAAATGTGTCATTGTCAAAGCAATTTCATAAACTATTTAAGTGGAAAAAAAATAAAAAATAAAACTTAAGAATAGACTTTTTGTAAAGGATATGGGCTTTACCGGGAGCCTATAATACATGCAGCAACAAACTTTAAATATACAAAAATAAAGTGTTTGAGTTGATGACAGGTCCTTGGTACAAGCTTTCCCCCACATAGTCACTTTGGTGCGGATGCGTGCCTCTTGTCTGCTGTTCTCCGTGTGCTCAGTGAGGTGGCGCTACATCATCTGCACGTAGTTCTCCGGGATGAGGCCCCTCTTGCCCTCCAGCTCGCCCTCCAGCCAGCCCGGCTCCCTGGACGTGGTCACTGTGACGAGAGAGCAGAGAGCAGGCACAGTGTACAGTGAGTGAAGGACAGAGAAGGACGGATGCATGGAAGAGCTTATGCGAAGCCACGTGAGGTTTCAGTAACGGATACTTCAGGCCTATGAAATATTTAACTGTATAACCTTGTTTGATCAAGAACTGAATCCAATCATTAACAACAGCTCATAATCTGTTTGAATGCATAGTAAATGTGTGCGAAGATGAGTTGGGCCTTGCTAGGGCACATTGATCACTTGCAGATAATAACTGATTCCATTAAAATTATGCACATTTTTTGGGAGGGGAAATTATCATAATCAAATAAAGAAAATTATGTACATGGGGTCAACCAACTATTATCAAAAATAATGGTTTATTTCAGGGCTCTAATCAACAAAGTCCCAACTAGAATCTAACACATTAAAAGCCTCATCATTTTTATTACTTCAACTGAACCATCAGCCTGTTTCCAGAAGGGTGACTGACAAGTAAAATGACAAACAGTGAACTGACAAGTAAAAAACACGGCAAAGATATCCTTACACTTAATGCAGGTCCCCAAACTTTTTTGATTGGATAGCTTTTAGCAGTTGTAATACAATCATAGTATAACCATGGAGAACACACATGCATAAAATACCAGTATACTACAGTATCCCTGAATTAGTGTCAGATTCTTGAATACTTTGGGGAGCTGAAAGGGGATGGCGAACTACAGGTACCTCCTGAGCCACAGGTTGGAGACCCGTGGCCTAGATACACCAACAAGACGAAAGCCAACATCCAACAGCTAACTTCTCCGCCCCCGCCACCAACTCTCCCAACCAAACACATGACACGTGCAGTCCAATCAGAAGACCCGCTGTGTTGGAACAGACCAACCCAATATATATCCAACTCTCTGGGGGTTGGTGTATCTCGGCCTGTAGCTTGGGAAGCACCACCCCGGTCTGTATACAATGGTAAGAGTCAGTTTTTAAGCAAACTTCAGAAGTCTTTCACACACCGTTGACTGATTGTGGCTGTGCGTGGCTTCTAAATCATTCCCTGTATTTGGGATGTGTCAACAAAGTGAGCCAACTTTAAAGAGTGCCTTGTGCCGCAGTCTCGAGAGCCATCTGCCACTGATAACTTCCAAGGCCATGGTTTAATAACGCACTGAATACTTGTCACATTTGTTCACTCGCTTGATGGTGGCAGACTAAAAGTGTGGACCTAGGGACTACGGGAAAATATACAAGAATTTATCTTGATGCTACAGAAGAAAAGGAGAGTAAGCTAAAAGTAAAAAATATGTTTGGGTGATAATTTGATTTGGCAAAGTTAAATAATGCATGATTCAAAATAAATTAACTATCTGTGGAGAGTCAGTCTGATGTAAGAATGAACCCAGGTTTATGAGCAGTAAAACATCTGAAATGTTATATATATATTTTTAAATCAAAACATTGACAGTGAACTATTTAAGTTTCTCTAGAATTGTATTTCCGTTGGAGGGCAAGTGCCAATAAAAAAAGCATTTTTTATTTTTTTCTTTCCCAAATGTTTCCCCAGATTATTATTTGACAGTGATATGATTCTATTGGACAGCATCATACCAATGTTATTTTGAATGTTGCCATCAGTCACCTTGATGAGAAAATAATTAGACCATAATTGATACGATACTGACGAAGCAGTTTTGGGACTTCCTGTAATTCCTGGGCCAATCCACATGAAACAAAAACTTAAAATATCTGGCTTTTGTACAGTTACCATAGTTACCAGGAGAGATGTTTCAGCTGCACTCCACATTGTTAAACTAAAGGCTTTATGGGAATGTTTGGATGTCACATACTGTAAACATAACCTGTTATTGAGATGTACAAATACACTGAGACACCATGTGACATTGACCCCCACTTTCCACCCCTTGAGAGTCGCCTTGAGCACATAAGGCACACATAAGGCTATGTCCACAGATACTCACGCGCACACACACACCACAGCCCATCCCATAATCTTTACACTGACACCATATGCCAGCATCATGCAATAAATAATCATGTATTAAATAAAAAGCCTTCATAACAGTTAAACTGCTGCCCTGTGGTTTTCCCCCTTTTTGTTTCTCTCTGTGGAGCCAGGGGAACTGTGCTTCCTGTTGTGCACCGAGCTCAGGAGATGGCGGCCCCTGCTCTACTCTAGGGCCCAGACATAGACCAGGACAGAGGATGCAGTGGGACACCTAAACAATGCCTTTATTTTTATTAGCAATTTTACTAACATGTTTATTATCAAATTCAAACAAGCTTTTTATTAGATAACCACCTATTGTTTACTTAATTCATGTATATTGCATTTTTATTAAAGCTAAAGTTTCTTTAAACCACAACACAATTAAATACGTAATAAAATCTATGTACTTAGTGTCTAGCTAACTAATGACCATATGTATTTTTTTAACGATCAGAAAATATATCCATTCAGATTCTTTAAAAAGTTAAAAATCATTCGACTCTTCTGGCATATAAAATGCAGTGCAAACCTCCCTGACATATTGAATTAGCCTTGAAGCAGTACTTTTTACTAGTTTAGCAAAGAATTGTAAATCACAGAGAGTTTGAGTGAGAAAGGGTTTTGACTTTAAGCTTATTAGGAACTTTACTATCGGCCTATTAAATGCGCACAGATCAGGGGAAGCGTACACATACTTCTAGATAAAACATGCACAATTTGAAGGTTAAATGCACAACAATGTATATTGGATTTTTCTGTATACATTGCCGTAGAAAGAACATCTCCTCGGACCTCTTGACCTTCTGAACAATTATCATGCAGACTGCTGTCTCCAACAAGAGCGAGTCAAAAGTGCGCAGAAGTGTGCCGGTGTCAAGGGTTGCATCCATTTTGGAGAGATTTTGTTAATTTGATGCACGTCACGTTTTCAGAACAATGGCTCACAAGTCAACAGAGAAGTTTTGACTTAACTATTGTTGCAGGAAGAAAGACAGTATTGTATGCGAGTAGTTTGAGTGAGTGAGGTGATAAACCATTGTGTGCGTTTCAAAAATTTGCTAGACAGTCCTGACTAGAACTAGGAGGGACTCTGCCATTACTCTGGGTCTCAGGTCTCTGCACTGGCTTCTGTGACATGTTAGTGCCAAATGAACCGCACTCTGAAGAGCACAGGGACTGACCTCCCGCTGGTGCCCAGAGTCAGAACTTATAACAGGGAGCCAGCCAAAATCTGGAACAGTCTTTTGTAAAATGTGAGACAGGCTTCTTCCGTGTAATGTTAAAATTTGGGTAAAAACAGCTGAAGGATTGTATCTTTGCTATTTTTTAATATACTGCAATTCTTTTATCTGTGTTTGATTTTGATGTTTTTCTTTTTTTGATTTTGTTTTGGTGAATGAATAGTTTAGCACCTGGAAATTGGATTTTCTTTGCGATACATATGATTTCAATATCAGTGAAATATACACAAATCACAGTTAAAACAAATGAGTCCAACTCATTTACAACTCGAGATTCACTTTATGAGAGTTACTTTTTTATGAAAGAAATTGCTTAACTAGCAGAATCAGGACAACAGCTAAACCTCTATAATAGAACAGACACCCAGCAAGGTTTGTCTTTTTCTTTTTTTCTCTTTTAAATTGCTCCACACTTTTGTGATAACCAAAAATTAAAAATAGTGCGTATATTAGCAATCCTAACATTGACACCTGTAAGATACAAATGTATAAATTAAATATTACATACACACAATAGTAATTCACAGGTGTCAAATTTTACAATAATATTTCCTGGGCTCCTCTTTTGTAATAAAAAAAAAAGTTTTGGCTCACAGCCCAAAATACTCGTTCCAATATTGACAAGTGAGAATAGTGCGTGAATGTTTTTTATTGTTCATCTTTTATGATATCAGTAAATGTGAAGAATGTTTTGGCAGTCGGTGAATGCACCTCAATCACAAAGCCAGTCTTTGGGATTGAGGCATGTTTGTAACAAGAAATACACGCATTACATACCAAAGGTTTAAGTTGTATTTTTTTTGTATAGAGGGATTTGAGAGTTTATCCAGACAGAATATTCAACATTTTGCAAATTGACGAGTAACAATGGCGTACAGTTATCCCCAGGTCTCATCTTCCTTTTCACGCAACATTTTTGAAGGCCCATTTTGCTTTCATATCCTTTTAACGCTCATCATTCTGGAAACTCATGGATACAAGTAGGAATACTAAGAACATTTTACTGTCAAGTGTCAAGTGAAGGTCCCAGTTTAGCTCCTCACAATTGGAAAAGAGAATATTCAAATGTAAGGAACAGTCAGACTCCCAACTCTGAACTATCTGCCTCAAAACTCACTTCTAAGCCCAAATAGACATAAAAAATCACTGGAATAACTATTTTGACACCTGTGCGATACTGATGTTTAAATTCTTTTTACAAAAACGGCTGATATATTGTGCATCACTGGTGATTTCGTACCACTGGCTTCCTCCCTCCCAATTGGTTCAAATAATCAAATCTTACTGGTGCAAAGAAGAGGGAATACTTTAAAGCAGGGACCTCAATTTATATCATGGTTGCACTAGGTCAAGTCTGGGTGAGGCTAGGGATATTTGTCATGATGTGCAATATAAATTAACAATGGATCTATGGTGCACATGCAGATGTACAGTATAACTAAACCACTAACATTGGACACACTATATATAATGTGTATAGAAAGTAGAGAAAGTAAACATTTCTTCTTGTAGAACAGAAAGAGATTGAAACGGGAATAAGTTTATAGCTCATTATTTGCATCTGCAACTTTTATAATCATGAAAGTATTTTGACCATATACTTTGATTTGAACAAAATAATACAGCTGCTTAGATTGAAACAAAACTAGACCAAAAACACCAAGGCTGAATAATGTTCATATCAAACTATTAACACTAATACAATAATACTTATTATGTTTAGGGTCCAATGTTTATGATAATATACATAGTGTGATTGTTCTTTAAAATTATGTATAGCATGCCATTTTAGCTGAGGCACTCAGTGGGGGCCAAAATTACATTCAACGTTGATGTCCAATAGGGGGGCCACATAATACCGATTATGGGGTCGCATGTTTGAAACTCTGAATTAAAGCTATAGCCATTTAAATAAACTGAATTCACACAATAGTACAAGGTAAAGTGATTAAAATGCCATTATTTACTGACATCACCTTTAGGGCCGATGTTTTTTCCATCTGCAAAACAACACTCTTCTGTATCGCTGCGCCATCAAAGGAGCGCACCCACAAAATGTTCATTTCCTGGCAGTGATTAAAGCTTTCTGCCTGGCCGTCCCACTCCCTCTTGAGCCTGTGTCTGCTCCGAGTGTCCGATTGAAGATCAGATCGCTGGCTTTTAGTTTCCCCCTACTCCGCGAATCCAATACTGTGGTGGCTGTGCGCGCTGGCAGGTTGATAAGACTTACCAGAGTTGAATACAGCTCCGACTTGGAAGGAGAGCTCCGACTCGTGTTCCGCCTCACACGGGTACACGGCCACGGCCTTCCTGCTGATGCTGAAATGTGAAAAGTGAAGGCAACTAGTAAATGGGAGGAGGATTACAGCCTGCTTCAGTCTGGGCCTGACTAGAGCTGCTTTTTCAGGATTGTAGCTTTACTAAACGTTACTTAATTGGTTAGATGACTCTCGTTTTAATATACAACCGTAGATTGTGTTGATCTAAAACACCTTAAAGCAGGCGTGTGAAACTCTTTTTGATCCAGGCCCCAAAATACAAAGTCATACTGCTGAGACCCACACAAAGTAGATGTGCCGTATGTGCCGTCAGCCCTTCCGACCACCATCAACCATTCACGCACACACCAGACTCATTCTTGCCAATGTGGGTAAAGTGTCTTGCCTAAGGACACAACAACTTGTGTTTGTGCACTTTTCAGCCACCCCATCAGGTGCGGTGTTCCCAGAGGTCTCCCATCACAGTACTAACCAGGCCCTGCCCTGCACAGTTTGAGAGGTGTGACAGGATCTGGCTTCCACTTGTAAGTATGGCCCACATGGTTTAATGAATCTTGTGTCCGAGTCGAACCTAAAGTCTTGAGTCTAACCCTGACCCTTGGATCTCAGGCTCTTTTCTCAATGCAAGTACTATTCCGATTAATCTGTTACCATTTTAACATTTTAAAAGTGAGTATGCATACTTGAAAAGAGAGAAAAAATAACAAGGAAACGTTATCCAATCAGAAACGTTTCTAACTCAGTTCTATCAATAACCCAGTATTTTCTATCCGAGTTAACATGAGAGTGAAAGAAAGGAAAAAAGGGCAGTGCAAACAGCTCATTCTGAAACAAGGTCTTCACTCATGGTTCTAAAAATAGCTACAGCAGGCCCATTATGTCCAGCTTTAGATCTGTTGTCCCCCGTTACCCCTCAGACCACCCATCACACATTCTACTGTATTGTGTTTGCTTTTGTGCGCCATAATCAAAAGTAGCTCAAGACTTGGAAAACAACTTGCGCGCTCGCAACATAGGCAGAATGGCGACTTCCCGCTTTTAACCCCACATTTGGTATAGATGAGAAAAACACATATACAACCATCTTGATGCCTAAGAGCCCCAACACAGCAGCAGCATTCACAGCTTTGCAATGGTTGTTTAAAAGCCGGTATTTACGTTTGCGTCAACATAAAAACTCCTCCAATTCGAAAGCTTGTTTTGCCAGTCAGTGCGACGTGTTATCTCCCGCCCCAGCGACATTAGCATGTTGAAATAGTGCCTTCAAAAAACGCCTGATAAATATTTCATAATCTTTCACAGCGGCGATAGAGAAAAGGGAGAGAAAACCCAAAATGTGGTCAGGGTGCTGTCAATACAATGTTTAGCAGAGTTCCTGGATTCTGAATGGGGAAAGAATACGCTCTATTGGGGGGAAATGCGGGCTTGTATCTACATGAAAAAGGCATTAATGGGTTTCCGTAGAATGACAGGGCTTTTTGCGTTGGCCTCTGCGACATCTGAAAGCACTAGCGCGAATTCATTATTTAGCCGGAGCCATACTGTACACAGTGCATAATGTGCACGGAGCGCGACCAAAGTAACGCTGCTGTTTGCAATGCGGGCAAGCGAACGTGATTTTGGATAAAGCAGGGAGTGTGTATGCTGGTGAATGAAGAACAACAACTTGGACACAAATGAAATAAGTTAAGAATTCTAGAAGTAGGAATGCATGTGAAATTCGGTTTAGAAAATGTGTTGCTTGAATACATTATTTTGTCCATTAATGGGGACATTCTGTTCTCTAATATATGATAATCTATGACTTCTGTGGCTCTTTTCTTAAAAAATATGGTTTGTATGAAATATTTATTGAACTAAAAACCGGTGTTGCAGAAGAACCAGGTCACAAGATGGACGTGTGGAGCTGACCATTAGCACAAGCATATTTCCTATGTTTTGACTGACAGCGGTGTCATTGCAGTGCACAGGTGAGCGCGGTGTGCATGCTCCAGGCTTCTACAAGGAAGTGCTGTAGAGAGATCCATGTACTCAATGTCAAAAAGTGTCATGACCCACTGTTGGCAAGACAGTGAATGAGGAGGCTTCCAATTTGTGGCAATCATTTTGGCGACTGTAAGAAGAACCTTTTGTTGTGGTTGGTTAGGACCAAGCCAAGAGAGGTCATTCTGAGGGAGGACCAGTGGAGATCAGGAAAGTGTAGGGAATTGAAAAGGAAAGCAGGGGAAAGCAGGGGATAGCAGAAGGGAGCAGGGAAGAGCAGAAGGGAGCAGGGAAGGGCAGAGGAGAGCAGGGAAGGGCAGAGGAGAGCAGGGAAGAGCAGAGGAGAGCAGGGAAGGGCAGAGGAGAGCAGGGAAGAGCAGAAGGGAGCAGGGAAGAGCAGAAGGGAGCAGGGAAGAGCAGAAGGGAGCAGGGAAGAGCAGAAGGGAGCAGGGAAGAGCAGAAGGGAGCAGGGAAGGGCAGAGGAGAGCAGGGAAGGGCAGAGGAGAGCAGGGAAGGGCAGAGGAGAGCAGGGAAGGGCAGAGGAGAGCAGGGAAGGGCAGAGGAGAGCAGGGAAGGGCAGAGGAGAGCAGGGAAGGGCAGAGGAGAGCAGGGAAGGGCAGAGGAGAGTTCCAAGCTTCTACAAGGGCTGTGTTTCTAAAATTTGCCCCATGAACTCTAAAACATTTACTAAAAGTGGCTTTGTGTGTGGCTAACCCTAAATATTTTGATAGTTGATATATATATATATATATTATAATAAAATAAAAGTGCCACCATCCAGTGAGGCTTCAAGGAGCTCAAACAGATTTCAAAGCACAAAGCCTTGTTACCTTTCCTCAGGCGGGTCTTTGTCTGGGACTGCGGGAGGGCTTTCTGATGTGGGACTGGACCGGGAAGCAGCTGTCGACACCCTGTGTACACAAATACATTTATCTGACTGATAACTTTTTACTGTGGGATACTGCTAGTGTAATCCATGAGGTCCTGAGGTCTAACAGTGTGTGAGAAGAACTTTGAATAGGTCGGGCAGCACGTTTATCCTTCTTCAAGTGTAAGTTGTGTGCTTTGAAGAACAGATGTATAGTGAAAATAATATAAAATCTAGATGTAAGTACTTGGTCAAAAAACGGTATGTGGACAAGGCTGAAAGAAGCAGAGGTTCATGTTGAATGACTCAGACAGCTCACTACTTGAAAACTTAAATCTAACCAACAGGAAAAGGACAAGGATATCTATAAGGCCTGCCTTTCCGTACATGTTAAATGATTAATAAACTAAAAATATTTCATTCAGAATACATTTAACATTAAACTATTTTAACATTGAAATGTTTCGTTTAGTCTAATGGTTAAATAGCAGCGGTATATCAGGTGACTTATAAACCTTTTTTACACACACAGATCCAAGACAGCAAACAAACCAAATCAAACATGCAATCTGCACAACTAACAAATAAAACAAAAATGACAAAAACAACACCATTAATCGGAGAGCACCAGGAGAGAGCAGAGGAGCAAGGGAGAGGAGAGTATACATGCATCAAGAGTTCCGAGCTTCCTGGTCGACCGCACGGCATCGGGGGTAGTTTTCTCAAAAAGGTGGGCATCAAATCACGCTGCCATATTGGATTACTTGCGAACGTGATCTCTCTCTCTCGTTTCCAGCCCATAGATTGTTTTAATAGCAAAAAAAAATCACCAATTTCAGACATTTAGAAGGTAAAGATTTTTTCATTTAACAAAAAAGCAATGCACTTTTTTCTTGTGGTTTTATATGTAAACACAACCGACTGACTACAGAGCTACATGTAGCTTATGCTACTTACGAGGGTGGAATGCTCACACGCGAGCTTTATAAACTTACCCAAAGCTGTACTTTGGACATATTTGTCTGGTGTGGAGCTTCTGAATGTAGAGAAGGCCAAATATCTGGGGCACGTAATCAGGAGTGACCTCAGTGATGACGATGACATTCAGCGGCAGTACTGTAAGCTGTATGGACAGGCTAACACTTAAGCACGAAGATTTCACATGTGTACAGAGAAAGTGAAAATAACTTTGTTTAAAGCCTACTGCACACCTCTCTATACCGCCAGCTCACTGTTTGTTCTTAATAATGTCCCCACTCTAAATGCTCTGATCAGAAATCCTCGTAAGTAGCATAAGCTACATGTAGCTCTATAGTCAGTTGGTTGTGTTTACATCTAAAACCAAAATAAAAAAATGCATTGCTTTTTGTTAAATGAAAAAATCTTTACCTTACCGTCAAAATGTCTGAAATTTGTGAATTTTTTAGCTATTAAAACAATCTATGGGCTGGAAACAAGAGAAAGAGATCACGTTCGCAACAAGTAATCCAATTGGCAGTATGATTTGATGCCCACCTTTTTGAGAAAACTACCCACAATGCCGTGCGGTCGAGCTGGAAGCTCGGAGCGTATAAGAGGAGCACAGGGGGATAAGAGGAGCAGAGGAGAGCAGGGAAACCAGGCACAACAGGAGGACAGACATACAGACTAAGCAACCCCTGGGCATTGCCAGACCATGAGACCATACCAAAGACAGTTACGGTGGGGGTATTCTACCTCACGACCATGATTAAATAGTACAATAGTTAATTAAACACACTCATAGTGCAGACCTCTACCAATAGGCGAGGTTCCATAAAAAAAATTAAAAAAAACATTGTTCCTTGTCCCATTTTTTAGCCTTTGATGAAAATGTTGGTAAAATCCTCATACATGTTTGCCTTATGTCAGACAGATAAGACAAGCCCTGGTCATTACATATATAACAAACAAGAATGTATGGAGTTTGTTAAAATTCTGGTACAGGTGTGCAGTATTTCAGTGATTCAACTGCTTGTGGTGGTCGATTGTTCTTTCTAAACCCTTTTGTTTGTATAACCTTACACAGTAGAAGAATATAATTATAAGTGCAATTCAGGCCCCTGTGTCCTCATAAGACACTAGCATCAGAGTGAGAAAGCCTGGTGTGCTGAGGTGGTTGTCCCGCTGTCTAGTGGAGTATAGCGAGTGCTAGAGCTGAGCTGGAGGAGGCAGGGGTCCTGGAGAACCAGACAAGAGCAAAGCAGAGCAGAGGCGCAGCCAGGCACCCCTCTGTGCTCCATGCCTGCCCCAGGGCCAGTGCTAATACTGCACATAATGAGCAAATTGCTCCTAGCTGCCGCTCCCATAGAGACGTTAATAAAGGCAATTAGAGAGCAGCTAGGAGGGGCCAGGCCGGACACTTACATTGGCTGTGGTGGAGGAAACGCATTTAAACAGGAGTTGTGAGGTGAACGCAGGGCTTTCATGTGCCTGTACATCCCCAGAGGTGCTGCTCCGGCCCGGCCCGGCTCTCTCCCACTCACACAGTGGTGATTTATAGCTCTGCAGCAGCCAGGGCCACTGTGGAGCTCAGCTGCTCCACATCAGCATGGGGGACAGGCGCTGCAGTGCACCAAATCCACTCATTAACCTGCGCCCCGGCCGGACACCGTCTGCTGGGTCATAGCCAGAAGCTGCACCTCCGCACCTGAAGGGCCTGAGCTGTACGGCCAAAAAGCAGGCTGCAGGATCAGGACTTAGTGAAGACTTGTACACTTATGTGGACTAATTCCCATGGGTAGAGACTTCAGTCTCTACTGTTTAAAGACATTTGTTCTCTCATTCAAACATCTTGAAATTATTAAACATTAAATTACAGTATTAATGGTTCTAATTTGATTTGATATACTGTATTTCAAGCTCACGAATGAGTGAAAAATAGTCAAACTTATAAGCTTACCCGCACACACACACACACACAATCATACATCCATCCATCTATTTGCTTCCCCTTTGTCCATTTCTGGGTCGGGTGGTGGCAATCAGCCAACCAATCCACAGAGCACCAGCCTTGATCTTTCAGCGGGGGCTACAGGCAAAGTGGGGTTAAGTGTCTTGCCCAAGGAAACGACAACAGCAGACATCAGTGGGAGGAGAAGATCTTGTGGTGGGCTCAAACCCACTACCTTCAGGCTCAAAAGCCAATGCTCTACCATATGGAAGATTTTATACATATATATTTCTTTGTTATATACACACAAACAAACACACATACATATACACAAATATATAAACACACACACAAACGTACATACATGGTTAAATTGATATTGATGTAAAACATTTTGTTTAGGAATGGACATGTCTATTTCAGTCAAGAGTCCTGAAAATGGAATATCCTAAATTAAACTAGGTGGAGACCCATAGATGCAATGCAAAATATGGTTACAACGTGTTTTGGGTGGCATACATGTTAAAATAGACAGCGCTCTGGCTATAGACAAATAAAAATATTGACAAACATTATTTATAGTCGCATGCATCATGTGTGACTATATAAAGCATAAAGCACATGGCATAAAAGAATCATCATTTTCCCTACACAAACAAAATAGTTAATGTGTGCATATCCATCTCACCCCAGAGTAAACATCCAAATAATGACAGCAAAGTCAGTGAATGGGCTGTCCTAGAAACTGGTTCAATGTACCAGAGGTAAATGGATTCATCCCAAAATTGCTTTTCACAATTATAGCTAAGCCAAACCGAGGGAAATTGTTTGCCATTACTTCCAACAAAAATAGCATAGGCCTTTGAATTGCTCATTGGTTGTTTCTGCCCATGTTAAGCCTCTTCTGTAAACATGATTAAATACAGTAAATGGGGCTTGTGTGGAGAATGCACTGTATAAACTGCACATTCGCCAAAATCCATTTCGAACTGTTGTTAATTTTTGCCTTATAATTGGAGTTGTAGTTAGATATTGGTGTGTTAAGCAGCTCCTCCATAGACACTGGCAACACATACTGATCGATCACTATCTGCAGGTAAAGGTGAGGACTATAATAACTTAATTTCACCATTGGACACTCAACTTGAGAGATGCTGTAATTTTTCTAAGAGTAAATATTAATATCCTGAAGTCGAAGTTTGACACTCTTGAATGTTGAAGTGTGTAATAAAAATAATCCATATTCCAGAGGTGTCCGGGGATTGCCTTGTCCTTCTGACGTGCCTGGCTCCCTGCTCTACCCCGCTTCTTCTGAATCACTCAAACTTAATGGTATTTGCCCACTCGACCAATCTAGCTTCATTTTGGTCCACTCTATTTTGCCTTTTCTTAATGTTTCTGCTTTTCTATTTATGCCATCAACATGGGATAATGATTATTTACTTTATATGGTTTTCATTTTAATATAGTTTTAAAGTGTGTATACATTTCATTTTTATGTTTTTTAAGTCATGAACCTGCATGTGTGGGACTATACATATACATGAATGTACAGTATGTATGCAGTTTCTGATTACCACAGGAATGCAAGATTTTTCAAACCCCGTAATCCAGTCCGGGATGAGCTATTCTTAATACTAAACTAGAGCAACACAGAGCAGACCAAAGGAGGGTTTCTAAGGTATGTCTTTAGTCCAAAGTTATGGAACAGGCCTATATCTCCGCATCTCACCTTCTCTACAAGTTTGGGTGCGCAGGAAATCAACTCTGATCCACTACTTTATGATTCACAGCTGTCCGGTGGTGAGAAGAAGGGCACGGACACAGAATGGAGAGGGCCGGAGGCGAACAGTGACTGCATTTAGGGAGAGCAGGAGAAATGAGGCGCGACGAGGAAGGTGACGGAGGAGATAAATCATGCCATGCTCCGAAAAGAGTTATTGCTCAATGATATAGCGCATTAGTGTATGACCAGGCAGATACGTTACGGCTGTTCTGCAGAAAAGCTATGCGTTTGCTTTAACATTAAAAGCAGACAAACGGAAAATAAATTTCTTTAGAAATCTGGGAAATGGTAATGTATAGTCCCAATGAATAGTAATTTTTCATATGCAGTTTCAGATATATTTAGA